TCTAGGAAGATGGGAAGACAGATGAGAAGAATGTCCTGTGAAGGCAGACACAGGGAAGAAAGCAAGCAGCCCTGGGACAGAGATTGGAGCCATCTTCCACAAGCAGAGGAACCCTTGGGGCCACTGGGAGCTGCAGAGGACAAGGGCAGCCATCCCTCGAGCCCTTGTGGGGAATAAACTTGGCCTTGATCTTGGACTTCGGGCCTCTGAGTGAATCTCTGCTGTTTTGAGCCCCTGGCTTGTAGTTGTTCGTCGGGGCAGCTCCAGGACGCCATGGTCCTGCTGGACTCAGCCAGCTCCTGCAGAACTCACTGCGTACAACCACCCAGGCACAGCAGTCACGGAGTGGGAGAGGAGCACGTGAGTCCTGCAGAGTGTCCTGAGTTTGTACCCAGCAGCCCCTTGCAGGCCACACGTCCTCAGGCCACACTCTTCATTCCGTTTTTCATCATGGAAACAGCAAGAGGACACCAGTCACTGGAAGGGCCTTTGGGGTGGGGGGGACCCAAGTGAGGATGGTCCTGCACACAGGAACTCCCACATTTGGCCATCACCAGCTGTCAGAGATAAGGAAGCCCTGAGCGCCTCTGCTAGGAGTTCTGCTTCCTCTTAGCACCATCCGAAAGTCACTACCAGGGTCACGGGGGCCCAATGTCCCTGCCAAATGTGGACAGCACTTGGGGTGTCCCATCTTCATGCTCAGTCCTCCAGTTCTGATGTGCCTTCCCTTGGTGGTGCTCCTGATTGGAAACAATCCACAAAGCCCCCAAAGGATGGCAAGCACTGTTCAGCTGGCTGTGGAAAGCTGAATTTTGACACAAGCCATGTTTTAAATCAATTTCTCGTTCCTAGTGGTCAAAGCAAGGCGCTCACGTGGCTGATGTCTTCTTAGGAGAGCAAGCCCCTCCCCCCTCCTCACTGCCCCTCCTTCCCCTGGCCTTGGGGTACCCTTGAGCACATATCACCCCTCTCTCTTGCAGCTCTAACATCAGAAGGTTATCAGGTCCCCCAAAAAGCACCTGGATATCAAAGAGTCTGCAGACCAGCTCACAAGGAAGGGATTGTTCCTCAAGGTGGAGAAAGGAGAGAAGGTGTCTTTGTGAGCGTATCTTTCAAATTCAAGTTCAAATCAGACACAGAGGGAGGTCAGTGCGATAAAAGGCTAGCAACAGACTCAGAGCTCAGTAGTGACCATTCCAGATGTGTGCGTGTGCAAACGTACATGGATATGTGACCATTCCATGTGTGTACTTCTGTTCCTATGGGGCATATGTTTGCATGTCTGGGGGTGGGGGTGCTGAGTGTTTGTGTTCACATGTGTTGTGCATGTGTGTATTGCATTGTGCATGTATGTATGTGTACGCTTGTGTGTGCACCTGTGAGTGTGTGGTGTATGATATGTGCACATGTGTATTTTTGTGTTGTGCATGTCTGGGCACCTGGGTGTGTCTTTCCTAATGGGAGCGACCTGAACACAAAGGTCTAGGCCCGCCCCACTCTCCTGCCCCGGCAGTCCCAACCTCAGCCTGGGATCTCAGAGGAAATCCCACAGCAGCAGAGCCTCCCCACATCAGGCACTACCCAGCAGCCCGAGGCCCATAATGACAGAGGTCTCGTGGTGGCTGCCCCAGCCTGAATGGGGCCCTTCTTTCCTGAGGACCAAGGGGGTACAGAGGCAGGTGCCTGCCTATAGAGAGAAGGCTGCCTGGCCTTGCAAAGCAGGACCTTGTTCTCAACCTCCAGGGTCTTTTCCTTTCACACTGGACTGTCTGTGCCCCCAGGCACAAGTCTCCAGGTCTCTGCCCCTCTCAGTAGCCACATGAGCAGCTAGCTGGACCTCTGACCCTGGGACCTGGGACACCTGTGTCAGCTGAGGCCACCCAGCAGGGACGCCTCCCTGCCCTGTTCCACACCAGGCAGCAGGCGGATGTAGGCAGGACAGGGGCTGCTGTGACAGCCACTGTTAGAGTCTTCACAGGAAAAGGCCAGAGCTGAACTGGCTGCAAGCTGAGGCTGACGTCATTCTGCACAGGAGGAGACCCCGCCAGAGCCACGGGGGACTGTACTGCGCTGACCTGCCAGACAATGAGTTCTCCTTTTTCAAATGATTTCGCAAACAAGCAAATGAAACCACAAAGTGCTTTACTGTAAAGAAATACCCGGCTCCTCCTAGAGCTTCAGGGCCTCCTGATTTCAGTCTCCTCTGCTGCACACCAACTCCCCGGGGTCAAGGTAGGGTCCCCCCGCCCCCCAGTCTGCCTCACACAGCCCGAAGGTTTCCTGAGCCTGGCGCTCTGCGGATGTTTGTTGCGGCTGCTTCCCGTCCTCTGGACGAGTGAAGGTGACCTTTCAGGCTGATGCTCTCAATCTCCTGCAGGCCAAGGGGTTGGCCGCCAAGCAAGGCTTCTGCTGCCACCTGGTGGTGTACTTATAAACGCTGGTGTTCGGCGCAAAGAAGGAAAGGAGGCTGGCTGCTCAGTGAGAATCTAGTCCACCACCTTCAGTTAACTGCTGAGGAAGGGACTTGAACCTGCCTGAGGTCACACTGTAAATCACCAGCACAACAGGACTCGCACCTGACTTCCTCAGGGTCTCTCAGCTTACAGGTTAGGCGTGACACCGTAATAATCACCCAGCTAGTGGGGTCTGAGTCCTGGCTTTGAGGTCAGACAAGGGTGGGTGCTGGCCCAAACCCTCACCAGCTGGGGGTCACGAAGCAAGTAACTCCAGTCCTTCGCTGAGATTTCCCACCTAAGGAGGGGACCCAGGACACAGTTGCTGTGCATGACGGTTGTTACCAGCGTGGCTGGCACAGGGCTCCTGCTGTTCCCGCTGCTGCTGCTGCTGTGGGTTCCACGAGGGCGAGGGTGATGATGATGATGGCGATGGTGTTGATCATCGTGACGGTGACAAAAGTGGGGGCAATGGTGCTGACGGTGCTGATAGTGATGACGGTGATGTGGTGAAATGAGGATGAAGGCGATGATGACGGTGGTGCTGACGACAATGACGACAATGACGACCCTGCTGCTCAAGGTGAAGACGGGATTTCAGGAGGGGGGCGTGGGTAATCCCTGCTCCACAACCACGAACCTACATCCAGGTGTCACGCTGAGTGGGAGGAGAGGGTGCCGAGTGAGCACTGGAGAAGCTGAGACCCTGAGCCTGGCAAGGCAGCTTCCAGCTGACTTCTTTCCTCCACTCCCCCACGTGAGGAGGGGCCTGCTGTAATCCCAGCACCTCCCACCTGGAGTGAGCATCAGAAGCACAGATCCCACACTCCCTCCCTGCAGACTGATCTGGTGGGCCCGGGAAAGGCTCCGAAATCTATTCGCAAAGTGCTGGAGTGGCTCTCACAGGCTGGCAGGTACGGGGATGTTGGCAGAGGGAGTGGCCGTTGTTGCCGCTGCTGCAGGGCACTCCCCCTTTGCACAGGGGTGCATTCCATGGCAGAATAGGCCCTGGGGGTCCTGTGACAAGAGCCATGCTTTGATGAGGCCAAGCCAGGGACAGAGAGGGTCTAGCTTGTGGAGGGGAACACAGCATATGCGTGTGATGGGTGTGCATGTGTGGGCTGTGTATGTGTGACGGGAACATATAGTGTGTATGCTGGGTGTATGGTGTGTGTGGTATGAGGTATGAGTGTGTGTAGGTATGTGTACACGTGTGTGATAAGTGGACACATGGACACTATGTATGTGTGGTGGGTGCATATAGTGTATATATGGTGGGTGTATGGTGTGTGTGGTATGAGATGTGTGTGTGTATGTGTAGGTATATGCACACACACGTGTGATAAGTTTGCATGTGTACACTATGTATGTGTGCTGGGTGTGTATAGTGTATATGGTGGGTATATGTGATGTGTGTGGTATATGTGGTATGAGGTGTGTGTGTGTGTGTATGTGTAGGTACATGCATGCACATGTGTGATAAGTGGACATGTGTACACTATGTATGTGTGATGGGAGTGTATAGGGTATATGGTGGGTATATGTGATGTGTGTGGTATATGTGGTATGAGGTGTGTGTGTGTGTATGTGTAGGTACATGCACGCACATGTGTGATAAGTGGACATGTGTACACTATGTATGTGTGATGGGAGTGTATAGGGTATATGGTGGGTATATGTGGTGTGCATGGTATGAGGTATAGACCATGCATATGTGTAGATGCATGCACATATATGTGTGATAGGTATACATGTGTACACTATATTGTGATGGGTGTGTGCATGTGTGTGTGTGTGTGTATGTATGTGGTCTGTCACTAAAGTTGAAGGGGCAGTGCCTTCCCCACCACCTGTTCAGCATGCTCGCTGTTTGGAATCCTCCTGTGTGTCCCTCTCTCCCAGGAGGAGGATGCTGAGTGTCACCCTCTGGGCTGTCCCGTGTGGCCTGTCAGGGTCTCCGGTGCCCCACCACCTCCCAGAGGTGGGACCCTTCACGTGGCCTGATAGCACTGGCTCCCAGGTGAGCTGCCACTCTTCCCACCCACTTGCCTCGGCTGTTGCTCTGGAGGGGGGTCATGGACCCTCTGGCAAGTTTCCCACCCCATTGTGGGGTCTGGGCAGGGGCCAAGAAGGGCCAGGTGCTCCCCAGGATACTGGCAGCACAAGCCCTGAGGGTGCCATGGAGGCCAAGGAGCAAAGCCCAGGATGTGGTCCCCATGGAAGTGTCCACATTGTGACTGCACAAATGCACAGTGTCCTCAAAGCAGACCCCAAGGGAGGCTGGACAGAGGCTCCTGGTGGGGGGGGCAGGCTGCCTACCCCACACGCTCAGCCCTGCTCCCTCCCACAAGCCACAGGCGTTCTTCTCCCTCCTGCTCCAGATGCTTCACCCCAGGGCCTCTCCTTCCTGCAAAGTCAGGAGACACTTCCACCTGGGAGACAGGCAGGGACATGGAGACCAGGGCCTGAGCTGCAGTAGACAACCCACCCCACCCTCCACCCTCATCCCTTGATGGAGACAGCACAACCGCCAGAGGCCCGTTGCTGGGTCACCTGTTCTTTATTGACTGCCACGGTGCATTCTCAGGGGGACACGTCCCCAGAGCGGTACTACACAGAAGGGGTCAGAGGAAGGTGGGCTGAGATGAGCAGGCTGCCGAGAGCCCGGTACACGGGGCCTGGGCCCAGCAGACCTCGGCGCCCCAGGAGGCGTGGGCAGGGCCTGCTGTGGGGGAGGCTGCCTTTGGTAGCAAGATGCCCCACCTGGACCTGAGGCCCAGGGGCCTCCATGTGCTCAGCAAGGGGTGTCCTCAGGGTGTGGTCACCCCGTCCTCCGAGCTCCCAGCAAAGCGAAGGCCACCTACGTCCCTGGGGCGAGGCTGCTCTCTGAACAAGTGTGAGATGCGGTCACCGCCACTGACTGGCCAGTGTGGGGTCTGGGCCACCCCGGAGCTGCAGCACCTAAGCTGAGCCCGAGCCCCCGGCCCACTCCCTCAAGCCCTCACTCCGTCTGAGAAGATGAAGAGAAAACAGAAAAAGGAAAGCCAAGGAAGACAAACATCACTCCTCTCTGGGGCCCCCAGGGTGGGGCGGGGCCGCAGGGGTGGCAGCCGAAGCGGGCCTGCTTAGGATGAGGGCGCAGAGCTGGGCTTCTCCTCTCGGGACACGGGGATGGCTCGCTCGCTGTGGCCAGCGTCCAGGCCCGACTGGACCTTGGGGCCCGAGAAGGTCAGCATGCCGTCCGCTGACAGGGAGCAGGAGAGCGCCGACTGGTCCACGTTGGAGGGCAGGCGGTAGCGGCGGTGGAACTCCCGGGAAATGTAGCCGTGATCATCCTGAGGGGGGAGCAGTCAGATGCCACCACAGTAGGCAGCCGTTGTCCCCTCCCAGACCACACGAGGGGCAAGGCTGCCGGGCCTCTCAGAGAGATGGGGCTGGCCAGCAGACAGACATCCCTGTCGCTAGCACCCCTCCTGAGATAACGGTTTACACCCTAGCTCCCTGAGCCCTGGAGTTTCAGCCTGGCCTCCAAGACAGACCAGAGAACTTGGGTCTTGGCCACACAGCAGGTCCCACCTGCCTGGGGCCATTTGCTGCCCTGTGCTTGCCTCTTCCCACTCTGATTTCTCCCTCAAATCGGAGGAAGGGTTCTGTGCCCCAGCCTGCACATTCTGCCTGCTCAGGCCCAGGGCCCCTGCAGTTCCACCTTGCAGGGTCAACACACCCTGCTGGGGCATTCTCCAGAGCATGGGCCTGCTAAGCTGGCCACCATCGCGGGCCTTCCACACCCACGGGAGAGAGGGCAGAGATAGAGCACATCACTTCAGTCACCGAAGGGAACCCAGCCAGAGAAACAGACCGGCTAACAGCCACACATGCAGGCCCTCTCTGCTCTCTGGCTCAGGGGGGACGAGGCTGCCTGAGCTGTTTGCTCTTCCTAGCCCTGCCAGCTTCACACCAGCCCCAGGGCCCCAGGGCCTCCTTCACAAACTCCAGGGACCCATAAGGTCTCCAACCACATGGGAGTCACATGACAGGGTAAGGCCCTGATTCAGCCTGCCTAGTACTCTCTGCGGGACCCAGCAGGCGGGACCTCTTTGGGGTCAGCTCTGCCTTCTGTAGCCTGAGACAGGGCACTGGCAGCAAAGGACTGCTGGGCGGTTATGCAGCAGCCACGCATAGCCCTGGGGCACCAAGAAACGCCACTAACTGCCATCATGGCTCACTGACCAAAGGTGGCTTTTATGTGAGAACACCACGGCTCGGGTTGCTTCAAGTCCTTGGGGCCTTCCTAATCTCACCCTGTCATCTGGGTGATCTGAAGGTAGTTGGTGACAACTGGGAGCAGCACCCGACAGGGGACCCTAACCTGGACCCTCAACCACGTTCACCTGCCACCTGGCCATGCAGGAAGGGCTCAGGAATGACAGTGCCCTCCATGCCTCTAAGAGAGGATGGCCGTGTTTAGACTGATGTAGCTCTGCCCCGAGGGAGACGCTGAGATCTCCTGCCCCACCTGCCTCTTGTGCAGTCAAGGGCCTGCAGAAGGCCATGTGGGAGCTCACCTGCCTCTCGTTGTGCTTGCCATGGATCTCCACGAAGTCCTCCAGCACCTTCACAGTCAGGTCCTCTGGAGAGAAGTGCTTCACGTCGAGGAAGATGACAAACTTGTCCCGGTCGGATCGGACCTGCAACCCAAATGCCTCATGTGGAACCACCCAAGGGCCACTGGCTCAGGGAGGGAGTATGGTGTGGCCCTGGGGGGCTGGTGGCCTCTAGCATGGGTGGTGGCCAGTGGCTCTGGTTCCCCAGTGATCAGAGTAGACATTGCAGGTCACTGCTCTGTACATCAAGTGGGACAGAGCTCCAGGGTCAGGGATCATGTCACTATGTCAACAGGAACTAGACTGAGCTCTAAAAGCTGAGGGTTCAGGTGGGAATGTCTGTTGACTGCCTGGTTAGTGGTGGGTTGACTGGCTGTTTGTGGGTTGGGTAGCTAGTTATGAGCTAGCTGGTTGTTTGGTTATGGCTAAGAGGCTTGTTATGTATTGGTTGGCTGGTTATTGGTTGGCTGGCATTCAGAATAAAGTCTCTGCCCAGCTCCACCTTGTCCTTGGGAGCCTGCTCTCCAAGGACCTGCTGCTGCCCAAGGCCTGCACCGTGGGTCAACTGCCCAGCCCTCAAAGCACTTCTAGTCTCACTCTCCCCTCACTTTGCAGCGTGGAGCATCGCATCAGGCTCCTTTCTGTGATCCTTGCTGCTGATTGGCGCTGCATCAATTCAGAGAGTCATCTGCCCAGGCAGTGGGTGCAACTTAGCCCCTCCAGGACTGCGGACCCTGCACTAGTCTCCCAGAAGCTCCTCTGGGCCCTTGCTGAGGCACCTGGGTGAACCTGGGAAGAACCACCATTCCACAGAGCTTGGCCAACTATAAAAGGGCTAGGTTTCTGCTGGAAGGCCCTCCTGTCTGGATCTCGGACATGTGGCCCACCCGCACCCAGACCTCCTTGGCTCAGAAGAGAGATTGCAGAGGACAGCCGGACCCAGAGAGCTCGCGTCTGCGCCCCACTTGCCTTGCCGGGGTTGTTCCTGGGGTTTCCAGCATGTGGTTGGTGCATTACAAACCACATATGGGTCATGAGCTGATGGAGGAAAAGACAGCGGTCGGGCTCGGCTGCTCCTCTTCCATCCCTCCCCCTGGCATGGGGCTCTGCAGAAGCCAGGCAGCCAGGGGGGTCCAGGCCCTGCCCGGCCAGAGCAGGTGAGCAGGCAAGAGGCAGGCAGCAACCCTGCAGCCATCACCACCTGCTCCGTGGAACCAAAGCACCAAGGACAGAGGCGACACCCTTGGAAATCCCTGCTCTCCTCTGTCTGTGGCCTGGACCCTCCCAACCCACAAGGAGAAGCCTGTGCCACAGGCAGGGTCTTACCTCAGAGATGCCAGAGTCCAGCACCGTGCGAAAGAGTGACTGGCGGTAGTAGGGGCTGATGGTGGAGGACAGGAAGGGCAGCAGGTCGTACTCAAAGAGGCCCTCGCCGAAGAACTGGTCAAACAGCCGGCTGGGGTAGAAGGGCCCCAGAGCGCGCTTGAACCAAGGGTGCTGGATGGTGACGTCCATGTTTGGCTTCAGCACTGCAGGGACCCAGGGGCTGGCAAGGGCAGGCAGGGGCCTCTGGGCAGCGCAGTGGGGAGCTGGGGCTCCAGCCCTCCCTATATACGCCGTGAACAGAATGGAGGCATTAAGGGGATTTCTCTGGAAAGGCATGAGCTCAAGCAGAGGCTGCCCCATCAGCAGAAACACACCCAGGCTTAGTGCCACCCTGCCCACCCTGCCCTCCCCGCAGGCGCTGCTCTGACCAGCCCAACTCAGCTCAGGCCTGCCTGGGCACCTGGGGGCCACCAGGAGGATAGAAGTCCCCAGGGAGCAGTTTTGTTCCCTACTCATCTTAGGAAACAGTGCAGATTCCCATCTCCCAGTTACTAGGCAGGGGTGCCATGTGCCAGGGACTATACTGTCCCTGCTGCACCCCATCTTGTGTGATGCTCACAGCCACCCCCAGAAGGACTCATACCTGTCTCACAGATGAGGAAGCTCAGGCACAGCAGTTAGGCAAGTGGCCTCCCAGATCTCACAGCTCCTGGGCAAGAGCGCACTGCTCTTCCAAAACAATCACTTCCATCACTTCTCACCGATGACAAAGACCACACTTGCTGAAAGAGACCTAGGAGAAGATAGAAATCAGACGAGAAACTAACAGGCCCTGGTAATTCGGCACCAGGCGAGCCCTGTGGTGCTTCATGCCCATCCCCCGGGGTCTGTGCCCACTCAACAGGGAGAATCTATGGACATGAAAATCCCACTCTGGGCTTTTCCCTGCGCAGCTCATCCTGGACGCCCGTCCCTGTGGACACCCCTCTGCAAGGCCTCCACAGTGACCCTTCTGCGGTCATTAAACCAGCTGCTCCCATTGGACCTGGGCCTCGTGCACATCGCCTCATCATCCTGTTACCTGCGAGCTCTGGAGATCACTTCACTCTGTCTGCGGTCCTCGTCCAGTTACTGCCAGGTGTCCGGGCACTCTCGACATGAACACTTTTACTATTTCTCAGTAAATTGACCAGTGGGAACATCACTAACATACATCCCACCCACAGCACATGAAGACTCCTGTTCCCACACCCTTTCCAGGTAGGATTTTTTGTTTTTATTTTTGTTTTGTTTTGTTTTGCCACAGGGCACATGCTCTCACCCAAGAGAGACAGAGAGAGGGAAAGTGAGAAATCACTACCTGGGTGGATGGCCACACTGCAATCCCTTCCTCTCCATTCTCCTCTTAGAATTTTGGGCATGCACACACACACAACCAGGGTGATTTTCAAACCACTGGGTCTGGGACTTGAATACCGTGGTCGGCCATGTGAGAGTCCAGCACCTTAACCACCATGTTACCTGCTGGACTCCCGGGTAGGTTTTTAATGCACAATTCAGACTAGAGAAGCTTCTTATTCCTTTTTGTGACTCTCCACTTCCCCAGCTTCTCATGCTTCATAGATATAGAATAAATGCAGGCCCAAAAGCACTCAGGATTTGCAAATCTACCTCCAGCCTGTGGATTTAGAAGGTCCTGAAAGAGCAGGGTTGTACTTGCCACATACTAGATAAAAACTATGCCAAAAAATGGGAATTTCAGGCCCAGCTACGGTGGCACAGAGGCTACACGACACTCTGCAGGGCTGGACCACATGATAAGGCCCCAGTCTGATGGTCCAAAGTCTCCCTGTAGACACGGGGCATATGCCTGCTCTTGGTCTGGGCTGGTTTGGGGCTGGGTGTGGAACACTGCAGGGACTGTGTGGGTGCTGCGGGAAAGCTGTCCTCTTTGAGAAGAAGAAATGGATAAATGCTTTTTAAAAATAAAAATGAATTTAAAAAAAGAAAAGAAAAGAAAAAAATGGGAGTTTCAGAGCATCCCTACACAGTTCCCTGTAACTGTAGCGCTTGATACTGAACCTTCCTCCCTGCCTTTTGGAGCACAGTCCTGTGCAGGTGGCACTGGGTAGTTAACGGCCCTGAAAAACCTTGAAAGGATGCCTTTGGCCCCACAAGCTTACAATCTCAGAGGAGTGACTCCCCAGGGTGTAAGACAAATCAGGGTGCAGAAAATAAACACTGCAGGGAGTGACGGGTGAGCTCACCAACCCAGGCTTGCACCAGACACTTGCTGATCATGACCTTGGAGTTCCCCAAAGCCACCCATGAGGCAGGTCCCAGCATCATCCCCACTTTATAGACCAGGAAAGTGAGGTTTAGAAAGGTTAAGCCTCATGCCCTTGACTTGACTTGAAAGAGAGAAGGGGCTTCAAAGCAAGGAGCTTCAGGCTGCCTGTGCAGGCTGGGATCAACATCCGAGCAGTGGCAGGGGCTGGGCAAGGGCTGGGCAGGACCGTGGGCAGCCCTGCTGTGCTGGCACCTGCTCCTGGGTGTGGCAGGGAGAGAGCCCATGCAGATGGAGGAGAAGCCAGCAGGCGCATCCTCCATGGAGAGGGCCCAGCTGGCCAGGCACGTGATCAATAATGGAATTTGAGGCAAAGAAAAGCTCATATGATCTTCCTGTCCTTGCCCCCAAACTTTCAGATTCTGTATCTTTTTCATCCATTTTTTAGTTTTTAATTTTTTAATTTTTTTTCATTTTCCAGAGGGCGCATGCAAGACAGAAAGTGACAAAGCATCCCCCATAGGGCATGGTCATGCCACAATCCTTTCTCCTCCACTTCTCCTTCCTGTGGGATTTTGGGTCCACATGCACGTGCATCCAACATGTTTCTCAAGCCACTGGGTCTGGGACACAAACCACACAGTTGGCCATGTGGGCTCCAGTGGCTTTAACTATCACACTATGCTGGCCTCCATTTTTGAATTTTCAAACATTGCATAAAAATATGATTTCTTGGGGCCGGCATAGAGATTAAGGCACTGAACTCCCACACAAATGACTACAGTTTGAGTCTTAGACCTGGCAGCTTGCTTTCTCACTTTCCCTCTCTGTCTCTCTGGTCAAATTTAAAAATAATAAATCAAATTAAATAAATAATAATTTTTTAAAAATTTCACAGGACTGGCAGGTGGCACGGTGATTAAGGCGCTGGACTCCCAAGTGGCTATCCGTGGTTTAAGTCCCGTACTGGCAGCTTGCCGTCTCACTTTCCCTTTATCTCTCTCTCTGTGTCTCTCTGGGCAAGTTAAAAAATAACAGTAATAATAAATAAAATTAAATAAATAATTATTTTTAAAATATATGATTCCTTTTGATTGATACATTTGGGGAGATTTTTTTTTAAATATTTATTTATTTGTTGTATTTTTCAGGCCACCAAGTCCAGGACGTGAACCATGGTTAGCACCTCTACAACCACGCTACTTGTTGGCTCCTTTGAGGGATTTTTTTTTGTTTTAGTTTTTTATTTTCCTTTATGAGAGACAGTGAGAGAAAGGGAAAGATAGGCATAGGCATTTTCAGCAGGGTCTCACCATGTCGCCATCCTCCTGTCCCAGCCTCTCAGTTACCTAGAATCACAGGCACGTGTTCAGGCTGGCCCGGGCACTGAACCAGGGCCTCCCGTGCAACTTCTGGCCTCCCAGACAGTGGCACTACCTGTGTGCCAGGGCAGCTGGACCTTGGTGGCTGTACCTCTTAGAGGCCCTTGACGTTTGGCGTGGAGGGAAAGCTCGCTCTCCCCCTGCATAGGTGCTGCATGTGATGGTCAGACAGACCAGGACTGCAGGTAGGGATGGAGGCAGCGGCATCTGCCTGGGCTGGGCACAGCCTGGTTCCAAGGGCTACACAGCCCAGGGCTGCTGAGGGTCAGGCAAGGTCCTTCAGGCATGAGGTTGAGTCTGTCGGGTGCCCACACCCTACAGCCCTCGTGGGGGTTCCCTACATGCTTTGGGGCCTGGCAGGGCATCGTAGTACCCACTGCAGGTAAGCAGAGTGAGCGAGCACTGAGTCTGCACACCTGGACTGGGAGGTTTGGACCAGGGAAGCCAGGGTGGCCCCAGGGCCCTGAGGGACTATTTCAAACCCTGAGTTTGAGTGCCACGTATCCTGTGGCCTCTGTAACAAAGCACCATAACCCTGCGGCTTCAGGTAACAGTGTCTTATCTCCCACTTCTGGAGGCCAGCGGGCTGACACGGCATCCTGACTAAAAGCAGGTGCCAGCTGGGCTGCTTCCTCCCCGAGCCTCGGGAGAGCTGTTTGCTGCCTTGTCTGGCTTCTGGCACCGCCTCCTCCCTTGGTTCATGGTCCATCTCCCTCTCCAAGGGCAGCAGTGGTGGCCAAATCCTCTCACGCACATGCCCTGGCTATCACTGTGCTGCCCCTCTGATGGGACCCTGTGATTACAGCGACCCAACAGGACAATCCAGGACCGTCTTGCACCTGAAGGAATCTTAGTTCCAGCTTGCTGTGTAAGGTAACATCTACTGGAGTTCCAGGAGTTAGGATGTGGGTTGGGATGCTCCCAGGCAGCCTCAGACAGTTCTCTGATAACTTCTGGCTGCATCCTGGCTTCCTCACCTCCCGCGTGGGACAGCCACCACCCTCCCTCATGTGGGCACCAGGGCACAGCTCGGGCCTCCAGTAACCAGCACGACCTCGGCTTACAGAGAGGCCAGAAAATAGTCAATACCAACTCCCAATGCTCAAATCTAGGACCTGGTTCAACTGGGATGTTGTCAGCTGTCTGAGACCCTCGTGTGTCACATCCAGGCTCACTGACCTCCCCTAAGGCCAGACTAAGGGGCTGTGCTGCCCCAGATCCTGTGGCATGAAGCCTGTCTTCACTCATTGCCTAATACTGGCTGAATCCTGGCTCCATGACACACACTGTCTTATGCAAAATTCCTGTTTTAGGGAGTTGCTATTTCAGCAGGCAGAGACAAGTGACTGACACATAAACATGCAAGGAGGACCTGTTGCTGTAGCTGGCAGCAAGAGCTTTGCACAAACTAAACAGCATTTCAGCTCCGTAGTTGGGGGCACTTTGAATTGACAAGACTGGATGCACTTTGAACAGCAGAATCAACAAAGCACACCCAAATGCAAAAGACATGGCCTCAGACAGACCTAGAAAGGGCATTTGTTTACGGTATGAGAGCAGAAACAGTGGATGGAGCGCTGCCTTGTTCAGCCTTGGCCAGGAATGGGTGTGTCAGGAGA